CCCATTTGAGAACAGGCCTCAGACTGAACTGGGATCTCGGCCCTTTTCTGGCCCTTCCTTGGGCTCTCCTGTCCTGTAGAGAACTCAGGAAGTGTGAGGTATCTCAAGTCACCTACAGTAGCTGTACAGAGTACCATTAGCCCGTGTTCTGAGGATGGAAACTAAGATAAAGAGGAGAAAGCAATGGGGAATGGAAGTAAAAGCATTAGACAGAATCACACTTGTGGCTTTGTGTAACTGGCCTATGTGTCCAAACCTGCTTTCTATCTATCTATACAGTTAGGATGACAGATGCTTACCTCCTAAAGTCATTAGCAGGATTAAATGAGATTATGTATGCGAAATGCGTCATACAATGTCAGGTACAGAGCAAGTGTTTTGAAAAGGATAGCTACTGCTGAGACCGGTTTGGCTCAATGGATAGAGCGTCGGCTTGGGGACTGAAAGGTCCCGGGTTCGATTCCGGTCAAGGGCATGTACCTTGGTTGCGGGCATATCCCCAGTAGGGGGTGTGCAAGAGGCAGCTGATCGATGACTCTCTCTCTCATCGATGTTTCTAACTCTCTATCTCTCTCCCTTCCTCTCTGTACAAAATCAATAAAATATGTTTAAAAAAAAAAAAAAAAAAAAAAAAAAAGAAAGAAAAGGATAGCTACTGTGACTATCACAGTGATCGGCCAAGGTCCTGCCTTTTGTAAGTGGTAGAGCTGGGCCTTGAACCCGTGTCTTTTGACTCTCAGTCCAGTATGTTCTCTGCACAGTCTCAATAGGAAGCGCTTAGGTTTGCTTGTAGTTTGCCTAAGGCTTCTTGGTTGAGCTCTTTTTGTCTCTCTTATTGGTTGGACTCAGTGAAGCCTGCTGTGGACCCGGCAGCTGCCAAACTCTGGACCCTGTCGGCCAATGACATGGAGGATGAGAGCATGGTGAGTCGGCACCTGGGCACTGGTGGCTTTCCTTTAGGCCCCCGTTGGCGATGAGTGTTTCCGGTTTGGAGTGGCCTCTCCAGACTTGTGGGCGGGAAGGTATGGATAGCCCAGCACCGAGGCTGTGCCTGTCACCGGCGTTTCTGCATCAGAGGGAACCTCCCCACTGGTGGCCTTTGCATTTCTTTTCGGCATCTTTTCCCCACCGATTTCCTCGTTCTTACTTCAGCTGATGCATTGGAGACTCTCGTGGGCATGTGCAAACCTGAAAAGCGCTGTCAGCTGAAATGTGTTTATTGGCTCTTTGGGGCAACTCACTGGCACTCACTGTCTTCAAAGCAGTGCTTCTCCATCTTTGACCGGTGCTTTCTCATTTAATCTTCAATCACCTGCAATGGGTGTACAGAGTACCATTTGCCCATGTTCTGAGGATAGAGGTTGTTCACTTCTCCAACTACTCAAGTTAGAGTGACAAGCAACGTAGGTTATGGTTTGTGCCCACATAGAACTTCCAGGTTACCTGTCCACGCGTTTATCAAAGCATTACACAGCATATGTATCATATTGGCCCTTTTCTCTGGAATTCCAGAGAAAATATTTTATTCCCCTTTTCACCTGACAGGCCTTCTTATACAGGGTGTCCCAAAAATGGATCCACACACCCTGAATAATTATGAACGTGGTGTTTATTGAAATACATTCCATTCTCATTTACCAGCTATCAGCTGTTCCCAGTGTATAAATCGGCTCCCAGTCCCCTCACAGCCTTGCGCACATCACTTCACTGTGGTGCTCAGCTCTGACATGAGCATCCACCCGAAGGAGGATGGTGGGTGCCTGCCTACACAGGCGGTAACCCTGCTGCCTCCGACTGCGGCCACCTCCGCCTCTCCTTAGCAGACAGCGTGGCCGTGTCACTAACTGCCTCCAACACTCCCCAGGATCTCATCGACTCGGATGAGCTGCTGGATCCAGAGGATTTGAAGAAACCGGATCCAGCTTCCCTGCGGGCCCCTTCATGCGGAGAAGGGAAGAAGAGGAAAGCCTGTAAGAACTGGTGAGTGCTGCCCGCAGCAGGTGTCTCTGCAGTCAGTGCTCTGCTGTAATTCTAGCAAACCATAGTCTTCCTGCAGGTGCATTTTAAAGAATAGTAAAATGAACCAGAGTCATTACTGCATGCTTATTTCAGAGATGGAGGGGGAGGAAGAAAGGCAGAAACATCAATGATGAGAGAGAGTCATTGATCTGCACGCCCCACACTGGGGATCGAGTCCACAACCCAGGCATGTGCCCTGACTGGGAATCATACTGGTTCATAGGTTGATGCTTAACCAGTTTTCACATGTAAATGGATAGTTTACCTACATGTGACTCTCCAAACAATATATTCCTTAGTTGTGAAGAGCTGAAGAGTAAGCGCAGACTGAGCAGACAAGGAAGGATGGACATCCCATATCTACGCAGGCTCCCGGGGAAGGACCAGGTGGAGAGGGGCCTCTGCTCTGGCTCCTTTGGGAATCTCGCAGAGTAGCTGCCGGGAAGTCAGTGGGAAGGTCTGAGGAGGAAAGTCTGCATACATTTGGAACTGCCAGGATTTGGTTTTCTGGGTGGGGGCCAGTCTCACTCACCAGCTCCTGATTCCCCAGCACGTGTGGCCTTGCCGAAGAACTGGAAAAGGAGAATTCCCAGGCACAGACCAGCTCTCAACCCAAATCAGCTTGTGGAAACGTAAGTATCATTGCTTAGTATTCCCCAGATCCTTAGTGGTATCGAGCGCCATCCTGAACTCCACACAGACTGGCTCCCGCTGTAAGGAACTTCCTGCCCCATAGTTCAGTCATCGGCGAGTACGTGAGAACACGTATGTAGGCCTTCATGAGGAAGCAAGGTGATCGCTTCAGAGGGGGAGGGTCAGCATGCTCATGCCCAGAAGGGGGCTCCTGGTTCTTATTTTTATTCCTTCTGACTTCCTGCTGGACCCGAGGTTATTCAGCCCTTTGGCTGAGCTTAGCTGGTACCTGAATGCTGAGAATACAGAAATATGGCCCAAGGAGCTCCGCCAGGACTTTGTTCTCATAGGAGCAGAGATCCTTACAACTCCTAGTGTCTGGGCCCCCAGGGGACCTCCAGATGCACCCACCCCGCCATTCCCTCCAGCCACTGTGGCCATAACATGGAATTAGGGTTCCGGTGTAGTCCTTGTTCCTGGCATAAGCTCCCGTAGGATGGGCTCTCCGATAGATTGCAATATGTTATTGTATCTATCATGTCCGCAGTGCTACCTGGGCGACGCGTTCCGCTGCGCCAGCTGCCCCTACCTCGGCATGCCGGCCTTCAAGCCCGGCGAGCAGGTGCTCCTGAGCAACAGCAACCTCAACGATGCCTAGGAGGGACCCAAGGACACACCGCTCCTCCGGCCACTCCTGCCTCGGACCCGTCTCTGCATCCGCTCACTCTCTCGGAAACCCGTTTGCAGGGAGGGGGCTCAGGCAGAGTGAAGCTGGCTGTGGGGGCGGGGTGTGTAGTGCTGCTGTGGATCAAAAGACTGAGGTGCCCTGGGCCGGTCCCCCGGGCGGGCCGGTTTCTACATAGGCTAGGGAACTGGGACGTCCTGGAGAGGTCCCCTCCCAGGGTCAGCGTGCTGATCATAACACTCCGCGCCCAGACTCCCCGAGTATTCACTCTGACAGGGCCCTGCCCCTACTCCGCGCTCCGCGGGGGCCGCGTGTCTTACAGAGCTGGTGGCTCACTCAGCGTGCAGCTCCCAGTGACATGAGTCAAGCGATTCATCACCTCAGGGCACCCAGGGAGTCACTCAGGGGTTGCTGTGATCATAGTCCCTGTACCCAGCCACCCCCACCCGTGTTTTCCTGTGTTGCACCTGTGTTCTGTTCAGCTGCAGTTCCTATTAAACTTGTGTACTTCCACGGATCAGTTGTGAAGAGGGTGTGTGTGTGTGTGTGTGTGTGTGTGTGTGTGTGTCTGACAGCCGTGCAAACTCAACTTGCACACAGAACCTCTGTTTTGGAGATTGGCGTCCCGCACGGTGGGACGGCCTTCTGGGGACCCGGCCGCTCTGTCTCCTTAGAGGAGGAAGCAGGACAGAAAGCCGAACCCACAGCTCACCTCTGAGCAGGAGACCCGTCTCATTACCGCCCCGCAGACTTGGCGTGCATCTTGCTGATAGTTGGGAGAGTGTGTGGGTCAGAGAGACCTGGGTTTTTCTATCTCACCACTAAATAAAAGTGTTCTTTGGAATTAGTGCTCAAAGCTTGCTTTTGCTTCTCGCCCCTTAGCCCCCCACACCCGGTGAATGCCTGTCCTTGCGTTTGAGCGGGGCCTGTAAGCATGGTGGGCCCTCACTGCTATGGCGGGGTTGCATTATGTGGCGGAAGTGAGGGGGTTTGCAGTCATGAAGTCCTTAAGGGACCATCGGGGAAAGGGGGAGTATCCTGGCTGGGCCTGGCCTGAGTGCTGGTCCTGTAGAAAAACCGGAGAACAGGGTTTCTCTGGCCTCCAGTGCCGTGATGTGAGGTCCCGGGCAAGGGACTGCAGGCAACCACTGGGAGTCAAGAGCAGACCATTGAGGGTTTTGCGAAGGTTCTGCATGAAAGGTTGGGCAAGATGGGGGTGGGGCTGCAGGAACCCCCAGCCAGGGAGCTCCCAGCTGGGAACGTCTGCAGAATTGGATCAGACATTTAGGGGAAGTGTGCTCAGCCCCTCCCAGGCAAGAGGTCACGGGTGAGCACAGAGGCTGGTCTGGGAGGAGACCGGGGCACTTGGGGGGTCTAACAAGAGACCCGAGAGAACCCAGACAACGCTTCCCAGAGCCCCTCCCTGCTCATGCACCGCAGAGAGGGGGGTCTGCCGAGCCTCGTTTACACCCCCTGCTCTTCCCTCAGCCCCACCCCTGCCCAGGCCTCTCAACAGGGCTCCCTCACTGAGTGGCCTGCAGCAGCCAGTCCGCTGAGCCTCGGCTCCCTTTCTGACCGGGATGCGGCAGGACCAGATGCTCTCCGAGGGCCCAGCAGTGTGGCCACCTGGGCGGACAGACACGCTGACACAGACTGAGGAGGAAAGACTTTAATCTGGGCCCTTTCATGCCCCGGTTCCAGTTGGGGAAAGGGTGGTCTGGGAAGAGACTTGAACGGCCCCCACTGGACGCAGGCAGCTGGGGGGTGGGGCAGCAAACACGGAGGCACCGGAAGTTTCCACATGGTCCAGGGAGAAATCAGGACTCCCTGATGCTGGACTGACGTAGCTTCATGATTTTTTTTAAGTGTTTGATCGCCCTCTTCACCGAGGCATCCTCGGGGTTCGCACAGATGGACCTGCCCTGGACAGTTACAAACCTACAGAGGGAGAAGCCGGGGGGCGTCAGGGCAGAAGTCTCCACAGAGCCCAGCAGCCTCGTCCTGCGCCTGCCAGACTTGCTGACATCACACGGGGTCAGTAAGAAATCTGGGGCATCAGGCTCTGCCTCCATGACTCAGTGACTGGTCCCTTCCAGACAGCTGGGAACTGGAGGGGTGGCGTGGGGGGAAGAGCCTACATCCGCTGTGGCTGCCCGGGTGACGTGGGGCTGTCCCCTCAGGGCCTCAGTGTTCCCATTGGTCCAATAAGAGGAGGGACCTCAGGCCTGGGCCCTGGGCCATTGCACCCTGGGGTACAGGGGCAGGGCCTGGGTGACGGGGGACACGAAGGCCACACACCCCTCTCTTCCTCCCAGTGGCCCTTCTGGGAGCTCCAGGTCCTCCCTCTCCCTCGCTCAGCTCCCAGGGTTGTGGTGGGGGGTGGGAGGAAGAAGCTTACACGAAGGCATCCCTGGTGCACTCCTCCGAGGTCCGGTACCACCGCACCACCCTCCGCACGGGGATGGCCCCTTCGAAGTACTCCGCGCAGCACTCCCGGCCCACGTTGACCCCTCGAGCTGCAGAGGAAGAAGTGGGAGCAGGTGTGAGGCCTGTGCTGTGGGCGGGATGCCTGTGTGTGTGTGTGTGTGTGTGTGTGTGTGTGTGTCCGTCTGTGGAGAGGAGTCTGTGTGCGTGTCCGTGTGTGTGTCTGAGGGGTACAAGGGTGGGTCTGTGTTAGGGGTGGGGGTTGTGTGTCTGTGTGTTGATGAGGGCATCTGTGAGTATGTTTCTGTGTGGGGAGCATGTAGAGGGCTTGCATGTGCCTCTATGTGTCACATGTGCACATTTGTGTGCCTAAGTTCTCTCTGTGGACTTTGGGAGCTCCTGTGTGTGTGCACATGTATCTGTGTGTGCTTGGAAGGGTGTGTGTGTGTGTGTGTGTGTGTTCATATGTCTGTGTGTACCTGTGTGTGTTTGAGGGAGTGGTGCATGCTTACTTGTATGTGTGTCCGTGTATGCATCTGTGTGTGTGTGCACAGTCAACGCCAGCTCTGAGCATGCATGGACTCGGCCAGGCTCTGAGCTGAGCCTTCCCAGCACAGCTCACACGGTCCCCAGCACACCTGAGACAGGTGCCTTCATCCCCCACTGGACAGATGGGGCTCAGGTCCCTCATCTCTGCACAGTGACAAATATCTGACACAGCACAGAGGCAGCTGGAGACATGTGGCTTAGTTACCAGCGTACCAGCGTGTTTTCTAGGAAACCGACTGCCCTCAGCCATCCAGGGCTGTAAGCTGGCCTGACTCCCTCAGGGCCGAGGTGCTCAGCGCTTGCCACAGGCACAGTGGCCACGAAGGTGACCCCTGACAAGATCACCTCCTGACAAGATGACCTCCGAGGCTGCCTGTGGGCTGGGCAGGCCCCGCCAGCTTGTGTCTGATTTCAGCCTTCCTCTCCCAACTGAACGTAAAAATCTCTCTTTTCACTTCTTCTGGGAACCAATCCCCCTTCTTTTATCCAATCCCCTCGGGGTAAGGAAGATCCATTCAGTAAACATATCCTGACAGATTCTTCTGAGAATTGCTCACTTTTCGCTGTGGAAACACAACCACAGCCACCGGCTCACAACCATGGGAGTGTGAGATGTGGGAGCCCCTCAGCCAATCCCCTCACCTCTTCCTCCTCACCGTCATTGTCATTTTTCTCTCCACGCCTCCCCCACATCCCATTGCTGCTGACCTCTCACATCTTTGCAGGAATGAGTGAGCTGCAAACAGCGCACAGATGTGTGTGTGTCCGTCCCGCCACTCTCACCTGCACGGGCGCCCTGCAGGGAAGCCCCCAGGAGGAGGGCGAGCAGGAGCAGCGTCTTCCACGGAGTCATGGTGCTGGAGCCCGGGAGAAGGCCTCTGCGTGTGGTCTCTCTGCTGGGGGAGCCGGGATGGGAGCCCAGGGTGGAGGTGACCTATTTAGCCTCCCTGGGACCTTGCCCCGCCCACCACCTCTTCCTCCCATCCTTCCCTGGACCGGTGGCGTTCGAAGAACTTGAGATGATTCTGTAGAAGTCCGGGCTTGGAATGTTTGTGGCTTTCCAGCGAAAAGGGGGCTCCAGAGGGGACAGAGGTGGGGTGCTCATCCGGGGGCCACGGCGACACACTTCTCCTTTTGCAAATGTGTTTCTTGGTTCCTCTTAGGGCGGAGAAGGCTTGGTCCTAGACTGAAATCGTCCTGCTTTGAGCCTCCGTGCACGGTGCCCCGGGAGGGGGACGGCCAGGCAGGGGCTGAGAGAGGCTGCTTCGCCTGGGACCGGAGGAGCACGGGTGCAAAAAGGGCTCCTCTCCTGTGGGGACCGGCCGGCTGCACGTGCACACAGGGAGCTCCCTGCAGGGAGCACCACAGCGCCACCTCGTTCTGAGAAAGGCCTGAGGCCCAGAAAACATTGGTCGTGGCTCCTTTCCCAAGTTCAAGTTCAGGGTCTTCCCCTGAGCCACGGAAGGCCAGGGTGCCTGGCGGTTTCTAACCAACCTTTAGCCCAGATTTGATGTGTCTTCCTGGGAAGGCACCTCCCCCCAAATGCAGCGTCTCACCTGAGCGAGGACGCCCCTGGCTCCCAGCAGAGCCAAGTCTGCATGGGACCCCTGGTCAGGGTCCAGCCCAGGCCAGGCCCGGAGCAGACTTCCCATGAACCCAATGGCCGCAGCATCGGTGCGCCGGCTCAGCAGAGAACAGGCCCAATCATCTGCTTAGGGTGCCCCGGGCCAGATCGTGAGGGCCCCTTAATCAGGTGACAGTCCCGCCTACCTCCAGGCGGGCAGCTCTGGACTTTGATTCTGACACTTGGGACCTAGGCCTGGCTCCACCCTGTCCCTGAGCTGGGAGCAGCTCAGGAATGACACGCCCCAGGAATCACATTCCATTCCCAGTGATGAGAATGGCAGGTGCCGTCTGTGAAACCCCATTCCACTGGGGCCAGGTGCTCAGCCGTGAGCCTGGGAGAGGAAACCGTGACTCGTGCTGGACCATGGGCGGGAGAGCCAGGTGCTCCTCCCACCCCCCACCCCCCAGGACACCTTGGAGGCTGGAGCTGCTTCAGTTCCTGGGGGCAGGGTCTCCCCCCGTCCATGGCAGAGCCTCCTGTGGGCAGGATCCCCTCTCCCGGCCTCGGGCTCGGTCTCACTGCTCACAGACCCTCCCTGGGCCTCAGTTTCACCATCTGCAGAGGGGCATTTGGGCTGTCCCAAGGGGCCCGTCACAATGGTTGCATTTCTCTGCTTTTCTCCCTGCCAGAGGCCCCTCACCTCACCCACTCCTCCAGGTTCTTTGGCCCCTGCCCGCCTGGCTGGGCCACCCCTCTGTCCCCCAGGCAGCTGTCCATTTGCACATGCAATGGAGGAGAGGGGAGCGGGTCATGTCTGTGCTCCTGCTTGGCACCAGCTTCCTGCACAGGAGCACCCGCTGTCCCCCCAGTTGTCACCCCAGGTCATGGCTGAAGCAGAGGAGGCCTGGCTGGGGGGAGAGGGGAGGGGTGCTGGGGTCCTGGAGACCCCGGCTGAAGGCAGAGCTGTGGGCCCAGAGGAAACAGGAAGGCGTGGACGTGCGTGGGGAGGGTCTGAGGCGGAGGGGGGTGTCTGCTGATGCCGCCTGTGGATAGTGTCTCCTGACCTCTCTGTTCCCCGTGGCCTCTGCCCAGCAGCGTTTGACCGCCGTCTGTGGCTTCTCCACCTGCCACAGGGGTGCTTTGGGCACGGTGCCCTGTGCTGGACAGGAGGGGGCTGCTGCGATGGAGCAGCAGTTTGTTTATGGCGAGGCCCCGGCCCCCGCAGCTGGGGAAACTCCCGAGTGGGCTGAGAGTCCCCCTGTTCTGCCAAAGACTCAGAACTTTTCTCTGGAAGGACCCAAATTCCCCTGTCCCTTCTGGGGAACGGGCTGCGGCAGCAGGAACTGAAGTCTGCACTAGCTCTGGCCGGGGAGGGAGGAGGGGCAGAGCAGCAGGAGTGCCAGGGAGCGCCTGCTGTATGCCTGGCTGGGCCAGGGCTGGGGGAGGGGGCGGGCAGAGGTCAGGTGCAGCCCCTGCTCTTGGGGGCGTTCGAAGCTGGTGAGGCTGCAGGAGCAAGGCCTGGTCCACATAGGGACGTGCAGGTGAGACAAAGGGCCGCGAGGCCCAGGGTGGGGAGAGGATGCTACTGGACACCTCAGAAGGCTGCCTGGAGGAGGAGGCCATTGAGCTGGGCATTGTGGGTGGGAGGATTTACACCAAGAGAAGGAGGACCAGGCGTTCCTCACGGGCAAAGGGCTTAGCACAGGTGGAGAGGACAGAATGCGCAGAGGCAAACGAGGGAAACAGCACGAAACGCTGGAGGGCGAAAGGGCCGGGGATGACCCCAGGAGAGCAAGCTTCGTGAGGACAGGGCGTGTCTCTGCCCACCAGGCTGTGTCCCCGCTCCCAGCACGGTGCCTGGCACACAGTGGGCTTTCTGTGAGGCTTGGCAGCGCGAACCGGGGACCAAAGGAGGAGGAGGAGGTGAGGCTGGAGAAACCACGGAGGCCCGCACACCTCTCGGCCTCCCCTGGGAGGCCGCGGAGACCAGGGACATTTCTGGGTGGTTTCCTCGCCAGGGAGTAACCGGCTTCGCCCTCCTGCGGTGAGGCGGCTCCCCAGGGACCTTCCCGGTGGCGTCCCCGGAGCCTGGGCCTGTGATAAGGCCACTGCGTGGACTCCGGGACCCGGAGGTCTGGCGGGGAACCAGGCCTGCTCCCTGCAGGAGAGCTCTGTGGAGGGCCCCCCGGGGTGGGGGTGGGGGGCTCCTGGTGAGGAAGGGAAGGGAAGGGCACAGGCAGGGAAACAAGCCAGACGCAGGCCTGTTAGGACAGCCAGAGGGGAATTGGGTCTGCGTGGGAGGAGACGGTCATGGTGCTCCCTCTGACTGGTGGGGGTCCTCCCCCCACCTCCCCACCCCGCTTCAGCCTGGTCTTTACCCTGAGAGGGAGGGAGGGAGGGCTCCTGCCCCACCCCGGCTCTCCTGTGGGCTGGGCTGGGACCAGGGAAGCTTCACCTTGCAGAGCAGGGGACCGGTTCTTAGGGTTGCTGGGGTGGAAGCAACTTATCATCTTCAAAGTGCACACGACAGTGTCACTGTGAGGGCAAACGTTGTCACCCCGGTCACGGCCGTGTCAGCCGAGGCTCCAGCAGGTGCAAGCACTAGCTCGGGTCTCAAGCAGCATAGGGTAAGGATCTAGTCTTTTGTCTTCTCGGCTCCATCCTCTCACAGCTGAAGCTAGACTCGTCCTGCCTGCCTCGGGGGGGTTTAGAGGTGAAGGCCTGGAATGCTTTTACCAACCCCCAATCCCAAAACACGTCCCACTCCCCCGTCCCAAGGGCCTGAGCTGCTCACTGATGAGTCTGTTGCTCTGACTCAAGGTCAGTCTGCTTGGTTCCTCAAGTCAGAACCTCAAGGGGCATCCCTCAACTCCCCCAGGTTCCATCAGCAAGACCTGCTGGGTCAGCCACCTGGATGTGGCTCAAATCCATTGCATCTCACCATCCATGTGGCCACCCCCTCCATCTCTCCACTGGACAGGGCTCCCCACGCAGCCCCCGGCTTCCAGTCTGTCCTTCTCCTAATGCCCAGCGATCTTCCCAAACACAAATCCTGCTCCAAGAATCCTTCCATGCCGCCCATTGTTCTCAGGACGAAGTCCAGATTCCTACCAACTTCTCCCAGCCTCAACTTTTGCCCCCAACACCCCATATCCCTTTGCTGTAGCCATGCCAGCCTTCTTTCGGTTCCTGGGAAATGTCAGGCTCTCAGGGACACCCAAGCCTCTGTACAGGCTGTTCCTCCTGTCTAGAACACTCTCTCACACCCCACTTCCTTCCATTCCCACCCTCCTACAGACTGGAGCGTAAACCCTCACTTCCTCCCTTCAGCCCCCACTTTCCTCTGCAGGTCACTAACTTCCTTATCACGCTCTTCCCATTGCATTGTGATGGTTGGTTTATTGCTGCAAACTCCTTGAAAATAGGATCTCTTTTATGTTCCAACTTGTACCTACAGGACTTAGCCCCCAGTAGGTACTCAATAAAATATGTTTATTTAATGGATGCAAATAGGTGATTGAGTGAATAGATGGATGGAAGGGAGGAAGGATAGAAGGAAGGATGAATGGATGGATGGATGCATGATTGCATGCATGGATGAAAAAAGATGGATGGGCTGAAACCGGTGTGGCTCAATGGATAGAGCATCGGCTTAGAGACTGAAAGGTCCTGGATTCCGGTCAAGGGCATGTACCTTGGTTGCTGGCATATCCCCAGTAGGGGATGTGCAAGAGGCAGCTGATCGATGACTCTCATCGATGTTTCTAACTCTCTCTCTCCCTTCCTCTCTGTACAAAATCAATAAAATATATTTTTAAAAAAAGATGGATGGGCGAATGGGTTTATAGATGATGGATGGAAGGAAAGATGGATGGATGGATGGATGGATGGGTTGATGGAGGATGGATGGATGGTTGGATGAAAGGAAGAAAAGATAGATGGATGGATGGATGGATGGGATGGATGGATGAGAGGAAGAAAAGATGGATGGATGGATGGATGGATGAAAAAAGATAGATGAATGAATGGGTTTATGGATGATGGACAGATGGATGAAAGGAAAGATGGATGGATGGAAAGATGGATGGATAAATGTATGTATGTATGGATGGATGGATGGTTGGGTGAATGATGGATCAATGCAAGGACACTTACAAGCTTCTGCACTACAACATGAACCCAGCTTGCATTCTAACCAGGGGCTCCTTCACCCCAGCACTAATTATTTTTGGTCCAGTGCGCCCCGCCAGTTCCTGAGACACACCTGAGCCTTCCTGCCATGGATGAAGTAGAGGAACCCGAACCAAGCGCTCTGGCTCCCGCCCATCTAGTTCACAGCTTCCTTGTGGTTTGGCCATTTCTGCCTCCTGCCAAACCTAAACTGCTTCAGCAGTGGCTTTTCACTCCTCTCCTTCTTCAGACTGCAGCTGGAACCCTCACGTCCTTCTTCAGCTCCCACTTTCCTCTTTCCTCATTCCCTCTGCACCCCCAAAGGGCATCCTCCCCTCAGTTACACTCCCACGCCTCGGCTCTTCCCATGTTCCCCTCCTCCTCTGCTGGTGATGTGGTTCAGCGTCTTCGCTCTCCTTGACCCCGGCACCCCTTCCTCCTAACACCCAACACGCTGCCCCCCTATTTCTCCTTTTACTCATAACCAAACTTCTCCACTGTGTTGTATACACCTCCCACAGCTATTTCCTCTCCACCAACTTGTGAGTTAATTCTTAGTAATGTGGTTTCTGGCCCTAAGACTCTAGGGACACCACTCTCTCTGGACCTCAAAAACCTCAACGGCCGAAACCGGTTTGGCTCAGTGGTAGAGCGTCCACCTGCGGACTGAAAGGTCCCTGGTTTGATTTCGGTCAAGGGCATGTACCTTGGTTTCAGGCACATCCCTGGTAGGGGGTGTGCAAGAGGCAGCTGGTTGATGTTTCTCTCTCATCGACGTTTCCAGCTCTCTATCTCTCTCCCTTCCTCTCTGTAAAATATAAATTAAATTAAATTAAATTAAATTAAAAAATTAAAACACAGGCCTGAGGTAGAAAAAAAGAAAAGAAAAAAAAAAAACCCTCAAAGGCCACTCCCTGGACATGCCAACCCCTCACAGAGGGCACCGTGGGGCAGTGGTTACCAGCAGATGTTCTGGAACCCTGTTCTACCGCTGTGGTCCCAGTCCCTCTTCTGCCTGTTCCTGGCTGTGTGACCAAGGACAATTCTATGAACTTCACTCTCCTCATCTGTACTTTTATTGATTTCAGAAGAGGAAGGGAGAGAGAGAGAGACAGAAACATCAATGATGAGAGAAAATCATTGATTGGGTGCCTCCTGCATGCCCCCGAATGGGGATTGAGCCTACAACCTGGGCAGGTGCCCTGACTGGGAATGGAACCGTGACCTTCTGGTTGGTAGATGGAGGCTCAGCCACTGAGACACATGGACGGGCCCATTTGTCTTCTTGATATCCCTCCCACAGGATTCAGAACGTGGTTCTTCCCCGGTTGAGCTCTCTGTGGTCTCTTTTTTGTACCATCCTTGAGCTCTCACCGAGGACTAGGCAGGTCCTCAGCAGTTCCATCTATGAGTCTACACTGAGTGGCCAGATTATTGTGATGTCCGAACTCATAATCATCTGGCCACTCAGTGTGTGTGTGTGTGTGTGTGTGTGTGTGTGTGTGTATTATATATATTAGAGGCCTGGTGCATGAATTCGTGCATGAGTGGGGTCTGGCCAGCCTGGTTAGGGGAGTGGGGGGGATATGG